CTGGCATTTTAAGACCAGAAGAGTCTTATTCTTGTTTGCAAGGTATATTTTTTCAAGAACTAAATCTATTGATTAAAGTGTATGGATCCCAGGGCTGCTGGACCTTACTGGCTTGTGTACTTCAATAGCAGCAAGATTTTGCAGAATTGACTTAGTTTGATGAAACAGTAGAGATGATTTTATGAAATCTCCATCCTGAGTACATATGTTGTAATATTCTGAGGCTAAATAGAGTGCACAATACCTTTTTTCCTCATTTTTTTTCTGTGCTAGTACTGGGCTTGAAGTAAGGACCTTGCAATCTTTCTTGATGTTTTCCACTCCAGGCTGGTGCTCTACCACTTGAGCTACACCTCTACTTGTGACTTTCTTTTTGGTGGGGGGGGTCCGGTAGTGGGGCCTGAACTCTGGGCCTGGGTGCTGTCCCTCAGCTCTTCAGCTCAAGGCTAGCACTCTACCATTTGAGCCACAGCACCACTTCAGGCTTTTTTTTTTCTGCTTATGTGGTACTGAGGAATCGAACCCAGGGCCTCAAGCATGCAAGGTGAGTGCTCTACCACTGAGCCACCTTCCCAGACCTACTTGTGACTTTTTGATGGAGATAAATTTCGAATGGCTTTTTCTGCATAAGCTGGCTTTTTAACTGTGATTATCAGATCTTAACCTCCTGAGTAGTTAGGATTACAACGTGAGCCACGAGTGCATTGCTTGGCCCAGGACTTCTGAAATACAGTGTTGCCTTAAGGAAAAAAAAAAAAAAAAAAATATATATATATATATATATATATGTATGTATATATATTTGTGACTTTGACCTAGTAGCTCAACTAGCTATTTCCTTCACAGAATAGTTTTTACTTGGAAGAATGTTCGATAGATAGCCAACAATTATTGAGTCTGGATATTTGGTAGATATTATCTGTTAAAGATATGAAGTGAGCCTTTACTTCAGCCAAAACCACTAACATGACCTCCCTCTTCCTTCAGGATCCATGAGGTTTGATTCCAGGACCCCCAGGGCTGACAGAACCCAGATGCCCCATTCTCTTGTATAAAATGACATAGTATTTACATGTCACCAGCATACATTAAGTCATTGTCTACCTTAAATCACTTCTAGATGATTTTTAGCTCCTTACATGCCAGGTTGTCCTGTAAGAAGCAGTGCGCTGTATTGTTTGGGGAACACTGTTGGGAACCAGATCTGACTGTGGGCTGTACAGATGGGCCGTGTTTGCTCTGCACCTTTGTGATCTGCTGTTTGCTGAGCCCACAGATTTGGAAGGTGGCTACAGCACACCAGGTGCATAGCACAGAGAAAACGTGAGAGGGGAAATGAAAATGTGAGTTTGGGACCATCTGTGCCCACCAGTCTAAAAGCGGCTTACCAGTGCTTATCCGAGGACTGGCACCATTAATAAACTTGTGGTGTGGGGTTAATCTAATGAAGCTCAGGCTTTGGAAGTCCAGCCTAACAGTGAGCAAGTATTTTCCCAGATGACTAACGTCATGCACAGAACAAAATGGAGCCATAGACATGAACGGAGCTTGGTCCAAAATGCTAATAATTCATGTTTCACATTGCAACCAGGTTCTAAGAAACTATTACCTATTGAGTTTTGGTGCAGCATCCAAGAATATATACACATCTGTTTGGATAATAGGCCTTCTTTCCCCAGCTTAAGGCCAGATTTAAACCCACATACAGAAGCAGATATGAGAATCCAGCTGGTGTCCATTCTGGTAGCTACAAAAGAGATTTGCACAAATGAATAAAGAGACCACTCTCCTTGCCCCATAGTTGTTTTGGAAAATATGAATTTTTTTAAGCTGGGAATGTGGGCACATGCTTCTTTGTCTTCTAAGAGTGTGCTGATTCTTTTGAATCTCTCAGTTTTAATTTCCAATGTGGTAAATGCCCGTAGATAGACAAAATGTCTGCAGGGCTCTGAGGAAGGAAGAGGGCTGGGAGCGTGACTCAGTGGTGGGGTGCCTGATCTCACTACAGCCAAAATAAATCAATAGAAGTTAAGCGAGGAAGGGGGCCTAAAGCCAAAAGGTTAAAGAACAGCCCATCTATTTGTTACTTCCAGAGTGTACACGATGTTTGTGTAATAAACCAAACCCAAGTCAGCAAGGAGAACTAGGCCTGTGCAGGCCCAAGCCATGGGGAAAAAGGGGCTGGCTTGTTGGTGGGCGGGCCTGGGTTTGTGAGGGAGAGGCACAGGGAGAGAAGGGACAGTCTCAGGAGGGGGTGCACATGTTGCTTGGAGCAAAGGGGACCTTTCTACCCGTGCCTCAGTTTCCTCCTGACAAATGGCAGCAGTCCATGCTTCTCCAAGAACTGCATGAGTGAACACTGAAAGCTTGGTGCTTAGATTGCTCTGGGTGGCTCTGCTGTTGTGGTTGTAATAATAATAACAATAACAATAATAACAGTAACAACAGCTTGGTGTCAGGTTCGCTATGAAGGCATGCAGCAGGGCCTCAGGTGGGGTGTCTGATGGTAGAACACAGCCTCCAGCTCCCAGAGACAAAATACCTTGGGGCTGAGGAAGAAATGAGAACCTCCTCGCCCCATTCTTGCACTAGCATTGCACTCTGTGCTCCAGAAGCTCCAGCTGTTACCCCACGAGGCTCCTAGGTGCACCCAGGGACTGAGAACAGGCCGTGCCAGGGTGGCCCAGATTCCTGTGTCAGCACCAGAAAAGTCTCCATTTTTCTTCTTCCTCAACTGTGATTAATCTTCCTTTCAGCTCAGTGAAGTTGCCAAAAGATCATCCAGAATTATGTCGATGTCAGCAAATACCCATGCAGCCAGCCCACCTTTACGAGGACAGATGCTTCCAAGAAAGGCCTTGCCAGTTTTCATAGTGAGAGTTACTTAGGTTTTGTTTTTTTTTTCAGTGCAGGGCCTCACACATCTCTAGTCCAGGAACAGTTCCTAATAGGGGAACAGGAAACTTTCTAGAAAAGTAAATGACATGACTGTGGCTTGACTTAAAAAAAAAAAAATTATATATATATATATATATATATATATGTGCGTGCGTGCGTGTGTGTGCGTGTGTGTGTGTGTGTGTGTGTGTATAGAGAGAGAGAGAGAGATGTTGTTATTGTAAAGGCGATGTACAGAGGGGTTACAGTTACACAAGTCAGGTAAAGAGCACATTTCTCTCTCCCAGTTTTCTTTCCTGTCCCCACCCACAAGTTGTCTAGTTCATTTTCAACAGTGTGTAGTGAGCACCACTGCAGCATTTGTTCACCCTCTGTCCTCCATTTCTGTGCCCTTTAATTGCTTTACCAAAGACATACAAATGAACATACAGGACAAAAAGGAAAGAAAAACAGCAATAAATAAATAAATAAATAGGGAAAAAACTATTTCCGGGAGTCCATTTCAATAAGTATTATTCTGTATGATCAGATGCACATGGGATTGTGCCTTTCTGTTCCTTCCCTAAGAGTGTCCCCCTTTGGTCTCATTGTGTGTGACTGGCCTGGCTTTTTTTTTGGGGGGGAGGTCTGGTTGTGGGGCCTGAACTCTGGGCCTGGGCGCTGTCCCTCAGCTCTTCACTTGAGCTACAGCACCACTTCTGGCTTTTTTTTTTCTTTTTGCTTATGTGGTGCTGAGGAATTGAACCCAGGGCCTCAGGCATGCAAAGCAAGCGCTCTACCACTAAGCCACCTTCCCAGCCCTGGCCTGGCTTTTTTAAATGTTGGAGCTAAGTGTCATATCTCATGCCCGTAATCCTAGCTACTCAAGAGGCTGAGATCAGGAGGACTGAAACTTGAGATTAGCCTCTGACCAAAAACGTTAGTATAAATAGAGGAATTTCAGTTTAGGCTGGGCCATGATCCTCAGATCTCAGTTTCCTAACTAGCTAGGATTACAGGTTCAAGCCACTGCTACCTTGCTTGGTTTTTTGTTTGTTTGGTTGGTTGGTTTGGTTTGGTTTTTTTGTCATGGGGCTTGAACTCTGGGCCTGGGCGCTGTCCCTCAGCTCTTCAGTTCAAGGTTAGCACTCTACCACTGGAGCCACGGCTCCACTTCCGGTTTTCTGGTGGTTCATTGGACATAAGAATCTCACAGACTTTCCTTCCTCAGGCTGGCTCTGAACCTTGATCTTCAGATCTTAGCTTCCTGAGTAGCTAGGGTTACAGGTGTGATCCACCAGCGCCCTGCCTGTGTGGCTTTTACACAGTTTCTAAAAACCACGAACTAAAGACTAGGAAACTCCACTGCTAGAATTTTCTTTGTAGTAAGTACAGAAATCCTTTGCGACCACATACTTCATTTGTAGGGTCATGTTTTGGCATGTCAGTTTTGCTTGACTCAATTAATTGGGGCGCATGCACACGTGCGAGCAAGCACACACACACACACACACACACACACACACACACACACACACACACAGAGGAGAATGCTTAGTTCTTTGCCAGGCCCCAGTAACTGAGCACTGAGGAGGCCTCTCTGGGAGTCTTGGCTGGCATCTTAACTGTTAGAGAAGTCTAAAGTAAACGGGGCTCCTTCAAGGCAAGCACGCCCCTCTGGTTGGCCTGTGCCATCCAGAGTCTGGTACAGGCATACCATATCTGTTGGGTGATTGAGTGAAAGCATAGGCAAGCCAACACACATGACCCCGGAAGTGTTTACAGGTGTTGATCATTTAAATCTAACTTCCACATATGAGAGAAAACATGCAAACAGTGTAACAAAATAGCAGGAAACTGAACCATGTTTTGTCCGGGTGGGAGGAGGAGACGAAGGGAGAGGAGAAGGGAGAAGAATGCAGTCATAATATTCAGTGTACACATGTGAGCAGGGAACCAGGAAATGGGGTGGCGGGGTCAGGAGAGGTGGGGGGAACCATGGACGGGGTGATACACTGATCAAGAAGCCTTGTACTCATAATCTGACATGTTGAGCTGGAACCCCTTGGTACAACTACTTAAAGATAATATGTTTTAAACTCTGCCCCTTGCGGTGCGGTCAGGAGCGAGCACGGAGCTGCCTGCCGCCCCTGGTGAGCCAGCTGGCCAGCGCTGAGCACTCATCCCACCACCTCCTCCTGCTGGAGATCAAAAGCATCACCGATGCCTTCTCCTCCATCCTCGGCCCCCACAGCAGAGACATCTTTCGCATGAGCAACAGCTTCGCCACCATCGCCAGGCTCCTTTCGCGACAACTGGGAGCTGCCAAGGCGGAAGGCAGCAGGTGAGCAGAGACCTGCTGGGCCCCAGGCCCATGCCAGGGAGGGGCTGGGCACATGCAGACCGACCCCTGGCAGCAGACTCCTCTTCCCACGGGCTGGGGCGCCCCAAGGAAGGCCAAGCCCACATCCAAGCAGAGAGAAACTTCTAGATCAGCTGGGTCATATGCCAGAACTTTGCTACCTACTCAATAAAAGATGTGCAGGATACAGTAAAGTAGTAAGAGTGTAGTGCAATAGTCATGCTGTTCAATACTTCTTTATTTCTTCAGCAAGCATTTGATAAGTACTTATTATGCACCAGGTACACAATACGTGAAGAGACTGAACATATTCTCGCCTTTGCTTGTTAATAAAGGAGATAAATAGTTAAATAATTAGAAAAATCTAACTTGACAGTAGTGGAAAGTTGTTGATGAAATGGCTTCAAAGAACTTCAGGCATGCTGAATGGAAGCCTCTTCCTCTGTCTGAAAGGGAGCTGAGATCAGACAAGACTTGGAGGAGGAGATGTTTAGAACTGAACACAGACTGCATGTGCAGAAGCAGGTTTGTTTAAGACCTGTGTCACCGTGAGTGGCTCGGGTGTAGGTTATGAGAAGGACAGCCACTGAAGACACTGCTTTTATCCTGTAGGCTATGCCATGTCTTCCTGAGCTCCTAAGCGTGGAGCTTAGGAGCCCATTGCTCTGGCCTCTGGCCTCCTTGCGTAAACTGTCTTGAGAATCAGCTAGGAGTCAGGGGAGATGGGGAGGGACAGGACGGTGTCCACATGTGTGAGTTGTGAGGAGGTGGTGGGTGAACCAGCAGTAGTCTGGCTGTGCCAAAACCAGGGTACCTGGAGTTGATGCAGTGCACAAGACTGACCTGGCAGTAGCTGGAGCTTTGGAAAAACAAGGGAGACCTTGCAAAAGAGAGGGAGGGAGGGAATGAGGGGTGAAAAGGAAAGAAGGAAGGAAGGGAAAGGAACGGCAGAAGAAAGGAAAGGAGGAAGGGAAGGAGGGAAGAAGAGAAGAAAAGAGAGGAAGGAAGGAGAAGGGAAGGAGAAGGAAGGAACTAAAAACAGAAAGCAAGGAAGGAAGGGGAAGAGAGGTGGAAAAGAAGGAAGGAACTGAAATGTGGCGTGCAGGGCCGTGGGGCTGTGGCTGGGTGACAGGTTGTGCCTGTGTAAGCCCCACCCCCCCCCAGTAATTCCACCCCCAGCACCACACAATAAAGGTCACCCCTCACCCCGCCACCTCCGCCTCACTATATCCATTCAAAACACTTCTCAGCCTGCACCCCCTCTCCCTGTCAGTCTCCATCTAATGGATGCTAATCAAGGGGCAGGAGCCTCCAAGCCATTGTACGGCTGCTCAACCCCCTTGGTGGGTTGCTAGGGTTTCTCTTCCATCATCCCCCCCCCACCTCCATGACTGTCACAGAGACCATTGAGTCCCAGTCATTTCCATCTGTACCCCCAAGATAGAAAGGTCTATACTTTTGTCTACAGCACACAGCAAAACCTGATCCTTACAATTAAAGAGGGAAAGAATAAGCGACGAGATGTAGAAGGGAATTAAAGATGATAAAATACAAAACAAGATGTCATCTCATTTACAAATGTGACACTAGCTCAGCAGGCCAGATTTTTAGACCTGAGGCCAAAACTATTCGAGTGTTCAAAGAAAGCCCATTAGCCTCCCAGAGAGAATGAGAAAACAAGCACTGAACTTTCTTTGTGCCAAACGTTGCTGAGTAGAAGTTTCTCAAGCTGCAGCAGGTGAGAATGTGTTTTTCCTGTTGCTCCATTCTAACAAGTGTTTATTTATATCTAAGTAAAATGTGTGTCCAGACATACTGGACATTGTATGCATGTATGAAAATGTCACAACGACCCCCCAACCTTAGATGACCAATATATGCTAGTGAAAGTATTTATTAAAAACAAAAATCACCTTGTAACAAAGAAATAACCAACAGACACTAAGTCACAGGACAGCCAGGGCAGAGCATTTGGACTTTGAAATTAATTCTGGAGAAACAAAAGGGTGCAGCCGCCTTTGTGGATTGCCAAGATGGGGAGTGGGGGAGGGAATTGCCCCACCTGAGGCTGAACAAATTCTACAGAGCCTGCTGGGTGGTCTTTAGCCATCCCCTGTTTGTCAAGGCCAGGAAGGAGAGCATGGCGCCTGGCTGCTACCGGGTGAATGGCCGGCACCAGTGTGCTGCTATGGTCAGGCACTGAGAGCAGTTTGCTATAAGTTTTAGGAGATCAAGCCCAGACCCCAAATGGGCTTGGGAACTGTGAGGAATGGAAACTGTGGACAGAAAGAGATAGGGAAGTAAACGAGAAACCGGAAAAGAGAGTGAGACAAGATGAGGAAACAAGAACAAGAACAGAGGAGTAATGCTCCAGCCTTGCTCCCTAAACTTTTGACTGGGCTAAATGATAGATACATACACACATACATACATATGATAGACGATAATGACAAACATGATAATGAACAACATGATAGACAGATACACACATAAATACATACATATGTACTTACGGTAGAAGATAATGAGAGATATGATAGATATGATAGGCAGATACATAGATAAGTAGACAGATACATACATACATAGTTATGATGATAATGTTGACATGATAGACACATGGATAGATACATAGATATGATAGATGATAGTGATATGATAATGATAACATAGATAGATAGATATAGGATAGATAGGGTGGACAAGCAGACAGACAGACATAGATTCATTAGAGAAATTACACATAAGAACTCCCACTTATGGGGCTGGGAAGGTGGCTCAGTGGTAGAGCGCTTGCCTTGAACTGAAGAGCTGAGGGACAGCGCCCAGGCCCAGAGTTCAGGCCCCACAACCGGACCCAAAAAATAAAAAATAAAAAAATAAAGAACTCCCACTTTTTCAGGCAAGCCATGTGTACACAGGAGAATTCGGATTCTTTGTGAGCGGGGTAATGCACATGGTGGGTTCAGGATGTCATAAGTGCCATGGGTGTTCTGGTTAGTGTGGTCCCTGCCTAGGACAAGCTGACAAGCGCTACCCAACAAAGCTGCTTTTCAGAACGAGTTTTCTAAGGAAGAGGTGTATCTTGAAGAAAGAAAACTGGAACAGCCCTGTGTGTTCCTCCCTTCTCCGTGGTCCCCACTTCATTTTCGGCCCCTCTGGGAGCTGCAGGATTAAGTCTGGTGAGAGGCTCTGCTTAGGCTCCCCGGGGATTCATTTGTCCCCTGGCCATCCTCCTCCAGTGGGCCAGCCAGCGCTGTGGGCTGGTTTGCCTTCCTCAGATACCTGAGGAATTCATTCATTAGCCAGCAGGAGCTCCTGCTGTAGGCTCGGCCATAGCGATGGGCCGGCGAGGCCTGGGCTGCTCTGCAGAGTGTGGGCAGAGGATGTGGGCAGCCTGCTTCAGAGGGAGGGTGCCTGGCTGCTCCCCCGGGGAATAGGGGAAGAGGGCAGAGCCCTTCCATGGAATGGGGCAAGGCTGAAAATTGGTGGCCAAGGGAACTGCGCCTGGGAGACCCCATTTCCACACAGCCCAGACTTCTAGACAGGAAGGTGACCAGGAGTCCAGCCCTCTCCCACCAGTGAGGGGTGGGGGACGGGGTCCAGCGGCTTGGTATTTCAGCCCGACCTGCCCCCCACCATGGTCCTTGTTCTTTCTGTCATCTGTCATGTTTGGATTTTATTTTCTACTATGATGTCATTATTTTATATTCTGATAGGGGATTTCTGAACATCTTCTCAGTTTGGGTAACAAGAAGGTGCATAATTCCTTTCTCCAGTTTTATGGAACGCTTAGTGACTTAAGACTCCACTCTGTTGACCCAGAGAGACCAGGATAGGGTCATTCTTCCTGGGAACTAGTCTTCCTAGTCACCATACGAGGTGTGACTTAGTCCTGCAGTAAACTAGGAGAAGCCCTGGGGCTGGAGGACCGGATGGAGTGAGTGAGGTGGGGAGCACATTCCCTCCACTGCCTGGCTGACCTGCAGCCAGTGCCACATCTCTGCTCTTCCCCTCCTCTGGCTTACAGGGACCCGCTCACCCAGCTGTGTGAGAAATCATCCCCGCACCGTGGCTCTGTTCCACGTCTCCCAGTGCAGGCCTGAAACCCCAAAGAGTACCTAGTACCAAGCACTCTTTCAATAGATAGATAGATAGATAGACAGATAGATAGATAGATAGAGATAGACAGATGATAGAGGGATAATAGATGATAGAGAGGTAGATGATAGAGCTAGATCTATGGATAGATAGATATATGGTAGAGGGATAATAGACAGATGATAGAGATAGATAGATGATAGAGGGAAGATAGGTAAGTAGAAGATACACAATAGAAGAAAGATAGGTTGTGGGGGAAAGATAGGTGATAGAGATGGATGATACAGGGATGATAAAGAGATGATAGAGCAATAGATAGGGATAGATAATGGATAAGTGGATGATAGAGAAAAGATAGATGATAAAGAGATGGACAGACAGACAGACAGTTTTTTCCAATACACATATGCCTGTGATAAACTTCATATTATTAACTTGGAAGCATTTGGAACAAACCATAAGTAATAATAAAATAGACCAAAATTATGACCTCCAACTACAATGGAAGCTATCTGAGCCTGGTCTCTCTGGTCCTGTCAGAATATCTTATTGGAATGCCTTTTGCTTTTTCCCTTCACTATGAAGTGAAGGGGAGGGAGGCGGAGCTTAACTGCTCTTAAAGGTAGACACAAAGTAGCTAGCAGGTGATGACCTACACCGCGCTGCGCGGGTATCCTGGGCTAGGGACATTTCTTGTCCCTGGTGAGGTGGAGCAGGGTGCCTGATTTCATCATGCTTCTCAAAAGGGTGTATAATTTTAAACAAATGAATTGCTTCTGGAATTTTCCACTGAACATCATGGGCCACTCTAACCCCAGAAAGCAAACCTCAAAAAAGTGAAGCACACATGCCCTCAAGTCCTTGGGCATGCGTGCGCACAGGTGATTTTACACAACATGTCCTCCAGGCCAGAACTACTGGAGGTATGACTCAGACCAGCACCCCGCGTACACAGTTTCAAACCAGACTGCAGCAGAGTGAGTGCAGACACTGAAGCCAGAAAATGTGCATTTGGAAACACCTGCAGCGACTCGTGTTGCTGCCACATGCAGCGCTCACGCAGGTTTTGCCTTCTGTATTTCCACGCTGCAGACAGCTGAGCATCTGCATGACACAAAATTGGCCCTTCCTTGTACAAGGCTTAATACTTTTGCCTAGTTGTAGGAAATCCCTCTCATGATGTACGATTGTTCCAAAGTCAGACTTGCAGTGCCATGGGACCGGCCTCCCTCGGTCAGCACACGAAGAAGCCCCCCAGTGAAGGCAGGGTGCTCTCTGCTCCTGGGGTTTGAGCAGGCACCACCTGTCTTCCAGACTTCACTTTGCCTGCACACACCTCCCTCTGTAGGGTCCACAGTGGGAAGCAAACAACTCGGGTTTTCCCACTTGAATTTTTCTCTCTCTGTGGCCTCACTGTCCAATCTATTACCTCGAGTGATGCTTTTAGAAACCCAGCAATGCAATCATGAGTACCACTTTAATTTAACAAAAATGAGGATTGAGTGATTTTCCCTTGCACAAATAAACTGCACATGGGAGCTGTGGGTGGGGTCTTGGCACCCTCGGGTTAGGAGCAGCCCGTGTCTGCATGTCATCTCTTCCATTTTGTTGTGCTGGCTTGTTTTCTTGCAAAGATGGAGATTGAACCTAGGCCTCGTGCGAAGAACAAGCCCTGAGGCCCCAGCCCTTCTAGAAGATTCAGGTGGATAGATAAACTGAGGAGGCAGTGCTTCTCAGAGAAATGCTACCCCAGGCAGGCCCACACTCGGACCCCAGGGTGAGGGCACATTTGCCCATCTCTGCTCTTACCTACTGAGTGATCAGAGACAGAAGACCGTGCCTGGGCCCTCGGTCATTGCATCCTCCTCCTCCCGCAAGATTCCCTCTGCACAAGCACAAGTCCTGGACACGCAGCTGTAAGCCAACATTGTCAGATATTAACTCAGGTCATTCGTCTTTGATTTGGGAGCCAGTCTCTCCACTCCTGCCAGCCTTATAGTCTTTCTCTCAGTTTAGGGAGAGCAGAAAGCTACCCAAGGGCCAACTTGTTTCTCATGAGAGGGAGGGGGAGTGGTTATTAGCCTTCTCCCCACCCACCCCTCACCCTGGTCATCCCTAGAGGTAATTGTTTAAACTTTACTTTGGCAACTGAGACCAGAAACCATTCAGACTGGAAATCATCGGAACCTCTTGTCATGTGGTGTGTTGAGTTAAGGCCAAGTTAATATTGAGGGGATTATAGAACTCTGGCAACGCTTTCTGTAAAATTACCTCTGGAGTTAGAAGTGACAAATGGAAAAGAAATAGCAACCCCTGCCTGGGCCCAACCCACGGGCCAGAGCCCCACAAATAAACATCCACAGGGCTGTGGCTCCACCGGCAATTGTACATTCATGACGCATTCCCTTCTTTGGAAGAGGAGCAGGAGAATTTGTTTATCTCTGGAAAGCATCTCTGTTTTCAAAGAGTCATTTATCATCCTCTATTCTCTCTCTTTCTGTCTGTCTGTCTCTCATTCTCTCCTCTCTCTCTCTCTCATATCTTTTTTTTTTTTTGTCGGTCATGGGGCTTGAACTCTGGGCCTGGGCGCTGTCCCTGCGCTCTTCAGCTCAAGGCAAGCGTTCTACCACTTGAGCCACAGTGCTACTTCCGGTTTTCTAGTGGTTTATTGGAATATGAGTTTCACAGCCTTTCCTGCCCCGGCTGGCTTTGAACTGTGATCCTCAGATCTCATCCTCCTGAGTAGCTAGGATTACAGGCGTGAGCCACCAGCGCCCGGCTTCTCTCTCATATCTTGGGGCTTGAACTCTAGGCCTGGGCACTGTCCCTGAACTCCTTTTTGCTTCAGGCTTGTGCTCTACCACTCGAGCTACAGCACCACTTCCATCTTTTTCTGTGATTAACTGGAGATTAGAGTCTCTGGGACTTTCCTGCCTGAGCTGGCTTTGAACCACAATCCTCAGATCTCAGCCTCCTAAGTAGCAGAATTATAGGCATGAGCCATGGGGTACCTAGCTCTCTATTCTGTTTTAAAAGTAAGAAGAGGAGGGGCCGAGGAAGTATTATAACGCAAATCCTTTCATCTATAGTTTCCCAACCTTCTAATCATTACAGGCGTGATGATTAGACCTACCTCTGGCTATGGCTGAGTGCATGCAGGGGGTTGATGCGCAGCCACAGAAAGGTCTCTTTGAACTATCCTGAGACTTATGGCTGCTGCTGGCTCTCCACTGTCCCCCTGCTCCCGACTTCTGTGTTCTATAATGCTCCAGATAACAAAAACCAAGGACGGAGAGAATTCTACTCAACAGAGCCTCTTGTCAGTCTCACGTCTGCAGACCATTTCTTTGGAGAAGACATTTTATTGTTGTGTCTTCACTCTTCCTTACCACCTGGGGAATGGGCCATGCTCCTGGGCCTCTGCCTCGGGAGCAGGAGGCAGGGTGGAGGAGAGGGCAGCTGACTTCCAACACCACCGCTTGCTCTTGCTCACTTCCTCTACCCACTGTATAGACACAGGAACAGAGCAGAGATATGCTTCCTGCCTGCCCAGAAGCAGGGTTTAGCTCAGACCTCACAATTTAAAACACCTGAAAGCCACTTGAATTTTAGAGAGAAAAGTTTTTGTGTTTTTACCATAATTTTAGCATTAAAAAAATACATCCTTAGGATGTCCCTACAAGGGAACATACAAAAGTAGTGACAAATATTGATCAACAACAACATTTAAAATATACAAAATAGTTTTGTTTTATAAAAATAAATAGGTATGGTTAGATCCTGTAGTCTGTTAATACCTTTGCTCTGAGGGAGGTGACTTAATCAGTACCTAGTGGTTTATCAACTCTACCATAAGCCAGGTGGCCAGCAGCTCACTCCTGTAAGAGCTGGTAAGGTCCCCACTGAAGGGCCAAGCCAGACATACCTACAACACCGCCTCTCACCAAAGCTGGAGGTGCTCATGCAGAGCCATTATGGGAAGCATAAAACAGGCGGATCATAATCCAAGCTTGGGCCTGGGCAAAGAGTGAGATCCTGCTCAAAATAACCAGTGCAATAAAAGGCTGGACACATGGCACAGCAGTAGTTCAAGGCCCTGAGTTCAAAGCCCAGTACTGAAGAAAAAAAAAAAGCAATCAAACAAAAAACTGCTATAGAACTACTCTATTTGGAACTACTAATATCATTTATGGAATATCTCCTTTCCCCAACATCTTCAATTTTAGACTTTTCTTGCTTTAAGGATAAGCTACACTAATTTCTTTAAAATTAACAAAGCTGGGAACTTACAAATCCACATGAAGTTTACTTCTCTCAATTTTAGTACAAATATATCAGCACATGTAAACTTGCTAGATAATATGTGATGTGAATTGCATATTTTTGGAGCATTCTCAAATCAGAATATAGTAGAATAGTCAAATAGTAGAGTAGTCTTAAATACTTCACCATGTGTTTCTAGTACAAAGTGGACCGAAACACCAATGTTCCCCAATTCTTTGAGCATAAGTTATATACAAGCAATTTTGAAGCTCTATGTCTCTAATGGACACTCAATAAATACTTGATAAATGGGCAATAAGATACTATCACCCAGCAAAAACCTAGCTCTGAATAAAAGGCAGTTAAGTCAAGAAAGTCGCCACTCTGAAGGCGGAATGTGACCATCATCTAACTTGATCCTTTCTGTTCCTTTAGGATAAAAACCAGCTCTGATGTTGCATTTCCTGAGAAACTGGGAGAAGCCAAACTCACAGCAGCTGGAAATAAAGACGATGAAAAGCTGCAGGTGAAAATCCAGGCCTTTGAAAACAAAATGAATGCCTCCATCAATAGCTCCGGCTCTATCAGGCGATACAGTTTGGGCCATGTTTGCAAGGAAGAAAGAAAAAGCATGAGATTCAACAGGTATGAATTTTATTCAGCTCATTATTTAAAGCATGCACTTCATGTTTGCTATTGGTTCTGTTATTCATGGTGTTTGGGGAGTACTTTTTTTTTTTTTTGTCAGTTGTGGGGCTTGAACTCAGGGCCTGGGTGCTGTCCCTGAGCTTCTTTATACTCAAGGCTAACACTCTACCACTTGAGCCACAGTCCACTTCTGGTTTTTGAGTGGCTAATTGGAGATAAGAATCTCCTCAAATAAAATAAAATAAAATTTAAAAAAAAAAAAAAGAATCTCACGGTGGGGGGGAGGCTTGGGAAGGTGGCTCAGTGGCAGAGCGCTTGCCTTGCATAAGCAAAAAGAAAAAAGCCGGAACTGGCACTATGGTTCAAGTGGTAGAGCGCTAGCCTTCAGCTGAAGAACTGAGGAACAGCGCCCAGGCCCAGAGTTCAGGCCCACGACCAGACCCCCCCCCCCAAAAAAAAGAATCTCACCCGGACTTTTCTGCCACAGCTGGCTTCAAGCTGCAATCCTCAGATCTCAGTCTCTTGGGTAGCTAGGATTATAGGTGTGAGCCACGGCACCTGGCTGGGGGTACTTTTTATGCATCTATTACCACCCAAAGTTCTGCGCTTTTGTGGGTGAAGTATTAACCATAATGTTATCCAAGCTCATTACTTTAATTGGGTAATAAAAAGGAAAGACAAACCTATGGGTTTTTTTTTTATACCTTTTGAATATAAGCATATGTCAATTTTGTTTTTGTTTTTGTTGGTTCTAGGGCTTGAACTCAGGGCCTAGGCACTGACTTTGAGCACCTTTCGAAGCTAGTGCTCTAACACTTTAAGCTATTAGCACCACTTCCGGTTTTGTGGTGGTTAGTTGGAGATAAGAGTCATGCTGACTTTTCTGCCCATGCTAGCTTTGAGCCGCAGTCCTCAGATCTCAGCCTCCTGAATAGCTAGGATTACAGACCATGAGTACAGGCACCCAGCTACATATACCACTTTTGAGAATGATTGCCAACAGCTTCTCTTGACAGCTGGTGAAAAATCAGAAGTAAAACTAGAAAAAGAGCCAGGTACTGGCAGCTCATGCCTAGAATCCTAGCTACTCAGGAGGCTGAGATCTAAGGATGGAAATTTGAAGCCAGGACAAGCAGGAAAGTAAGTTGAGACTCTTCAATTAACCACCAAAAAGCTGGAAGTGGAGCAGTGGTTCACTAGCCTTGAGAAACAAAGCTCAGGGACAGTGCCCAGGCCTTGTGTTCAAACCCCAGAACTAACATTGAAAAATAAATTAGAAAAAGAATAAAAATATATAAAGTCCACTTCAGAGCCAGTTTTGCTATGAAATTGACTTTTAAATCTTGCTTTTGGGATGATTGAGATTTTCAAAGATAGGATTTATTACATCATGGGGGGGAGGGTGGTCAATGAATCATTCTCCTCCCTGGAGGCAGTAAATATTTGTCCTTGTGTTAAGATTTCTTTTCCTTTGCAGAGTGTGATAACCAGACTTGTTTAACTATAGGGCCTTCTGTCTCATAGGTCCAGAAGTTTGGCTCTGCACACCCTGCTCTCGAAGGGCATGAGCTCCGATGACGGGGAGGAGGAGGAAAGGACTGAGCCGCCCACCAGCCTCTCCCTGTCAGAGATAAACCCATGGGGCCACAGGAGTGACATGCTGGCCCTGAAGACTGACACCCACCAGCCACCACTCAGAAACCCCTCGGCTTCACACCCAACCATTGCACAGATAGAATCAGAGAATCTGACAGAAACAGTGCAAGGGAAGTCTCAGGAAGCAACTCCAGGGGCCACCACGAGTCCTGCAGAATATCAAGATAAGCTCTACCTGCATCTGAAGGAAAACCTTAGTGCCGTGAAGGCCTATGCCCTGGAAATCGCCAGGAAGGTCCCCATTCCCGATCAGTGCACCATTGAAGGTAAGCACTCCCACCGACCCATCCATCCACCCATCCATCCGTCCATCCATTGTTCCAAGCTTGAGAAATTTCACATGGTCAAGAAAACACAGGAAATCAAACCACATGAATGTGGTACAGTTTAGCAAAGTGGATTCTTTTGAAAGTATTCCACTATCTTAATTACTTTTGTTGTTGTTTGTAAAATTCTTCTTCATCCTTCAGCTGGTCATTTGAACCTACTTGGGAGCATCAGGCCACTAACAGATTTTTACAATCATGATAAATTATTTCTAGTTACACATCTCCAGAGTGCATAAAAATCCTGGAAAGAATCTGGGCACCAGTGGCTCCTACCTATAATCCTAGCTACTCAGGAGGCTGAGATCTGAGGATTTTGGATTAAAGCCAGCCCAAGCAGGAAAGTCCATGAGACTCTCATTTCCAATTAACCCCCCAAAATGAAGCTGAAAGTGGAGTTGTGACAAGTGCTAGAGCACTAGCCTTGAGAACAAAAGTTCAGAAACAGGCTGAGATTTGATGATCACTGTTCAAAGCCAGCCTGGGCAAGGAAAGTCTGTGAGACTCTTATCTCCAATAAACCATTAGAAAACCAGAAGTGGCGCTGTGGCTCAAGTGGTAGAGCGCTTGCCTTGAGCTGAAGAGCTGAGGGACAGCGCCCAAGCCCAGAGTTCAAGCCCCATGACCGACAAAAAAAAAAAGAAAGAAAGAAAATGGCAGCACCATGGTGGGGGTGGTGTAGGAGCCAGTCAGCAAACCAAGGACACAGGGAAAGCAGGGTGCCAGGGACAGATCTCCCTTGAGAAACACAATTGAAGGTGGCACCTGAAAATAGCAGAGGAAGTGGCACCATGGCTCAAGTGGTAAAAGCACTAGCCTTGAGCTGAAGAGCTAAGAGATAGCACTCAGGCCCAGAGTTCAAGCCCCATGACCAACAACAACAACAACAAAAAAAAAAAATTAATGAATGAAAATAGTAGAATTTTAAGTCCTGACAGGATTAATAAGCTGATGGTGTCTTGGGCAAAAGAAATCATTAGTAATATCAATCCTGTCTCTAATTACAACATGGCTATGTCTCATCACAGACTTGTTTTGTATTCTTTTATGTTTTAACTTTTCTTACCTGTATTGATAACAAGTTTCCTGGCAGTCTTTTTTTTTTCCTTTTTTTTTTAATTGTGAAAATACTGTATAGAGGGGTTACAATTACATGGGCAAGATAATGATCCTGGCAGTCTTATCCGATGAGCCCTCATCCTGCCTCTGGGGAAAGGTGGTGATTTGAGAGGTGGGAGCTACCGTGACAGAAGACCCCAGGCAGGCTCACCCTTCTGACTGAACTGGCTTAGATGGATCAAAGGCCTCTTTGGCTCATTTGGACTTTCTCTGGTGATTCTTAGACCTGATCTTCCTTGTACACACCGGCACAAAGGCCCTAGCACTGTGGCTGAGTTTGCTATCCATCACAGGCTACAGCCAAGGTTCCCCTCCAGAGAAAAACACAGCCAAGAGAGCCATCCAGTTCATCCTCACCCGCGACTGACTCTCGGGGCTTGGTAGGAGAAGGGCTGTTTACACTACTCTACTTTCTGCCCTTTCCTACTTGGGGGTTGGGGGGGTGGGAGTGGATCTGCGCCAATTGGAGGCTTGAACAGCTCATAATAACACCAGGTTCTTCAGCACCTCTGTGGAGAACCCTGGCCCTTTCAAAACTGCAATAACTTGGTAAGGCTTCCTAAATTCTTCAGGAAAGGGCCAAAATAAAAGTAATATTGCTCCTAGCAAGTGCTGCTGTCATCTGAGCTCCACAGGAGATAGAGATGAGAAAGGTCAGGGTTGCAGACCAGCCAGGGGCAAGAAAGTTCATGAGATAACCCCCTGCCACCTCAACAGAAAAAAAAAAAGAAAAAGAAAAGAAAGAAAAGAAACGTTTGGATTGGCTGCGCATGCCTGTCATCCCAGCCATGGTGAGAGCAGAAGGAGGGGATGGTGATCAAGACAGCCAGACAAAGAGTGAGACCCTGTCGCAGAAACAATCAGAGCAAAGGGCTACGGTGTGACTCGCACAGTAGAGTGCCGGGCTGGCAAGAAAGCCTTGCGTAGTAGTGCTCACATTCAGGATTTTATTATGATAGCGTAGGAATACCTACAATCAGCAAACCCAGTCAGATGAACTCTTTAGAACTGATTATTTTTCTAAATATCTATCTAAGGCACAAGTTGAAGAATCTAATGCAGGAGAGGCTGAGTAGAGGGGATCTACAGCAAACGTCAAGTTAGATACATTTCCATTTGCCAGAATAATTTGTGTGCTTGTGGGTTTACATTTGGCCCAACCTGTGAACTGCTTGCTACAAAATAGACTCCACTCTTGTGAAAATGTGGGCAAAAGTCTGCAGATAGTTCAAGCACCTAGTTGTCATAAACACTTCTTACTGCCTTGAATTATTTGGAGAGTCAAAATTAGTTGGTGACTCAAATAACTTGGATTTTTTTCCCCCAAAATAGTGAATGAATCCATCATCTTTCCTTTTGATACTGATATTTCTTATCAGGGATGACCTGGAACAGAGTGTATATTTTTTTAAGATGACATTTTGGGATTCATTCATATGTTTGCAATTTCCTTGGTAAGTCCTTGCATGGGGGATATGTGTAAGGGATGGAAGATTTATTTAATGACTCAACTGTCAATACATTCACAAAGAAAGGACACAGAGTGGTGGCAGAGATTGTATAACTCATTCAGGGAAAGCCAAGGTCATCTGGCTGGTACAGTTTTGCTTCCTGTCATAAATCACTCAGCACAGTAGGGTTCTGCTTCTTCCCTTCAAAACTTACTGGGATACGATTTGGGCTTAGAAATTGTGTTCTGTTGAAAGTAAGATTCATATAAAAGAAACTTATCTCATCTTTATTGATGAATCTATGCAAACCATTTAAGAAACAAGAGCAAAGCAAAGTCATGTCTGCAACGCTTAAAGTTAAAGAGCTGCCAGTAGGATACAACCACAGAAAATAGTTCCATATTGAGGCTGCTGTGTCTCTCTTGCAAGAGTAATTGAAGGTTCACCAGATGCTGGTGGTGCTCACTTCTCTAGTCTTTGCTCAGAAGGCTGAGATCTGAGGATTGCAGTTTGAAGCCAATATGGGTAGACAAATGCGAGAGATTCATCAATTAACCAGCAAAACACTGGGAGTGGAACTGTGGCTCAAGTGGTAGAGCACCAGCCTTGAGTGGAAAAGCCAAATGAGATCAGAAGGCCTTGGGTTCAAACCTCAGTGCTGGCATGAAGAAGAAGGAAGAGGAGGAGGAGGAGGAGGAGAAAGGGGGGGGTGGGAGAGAGAGGAGGAGAAGACAGAAAGGAAAAGAAATAAAATTAAAGGGAAAAAAAAGAAATTCTCTTGACATTAGGCTTGTCCACATGAAAGGAAAAACTGGCCAGGCACCAGTGGCTCATGCCTATCATCCTAGCTACTCAGAAGGCTGAGATCTGAGGATCATGGTTCAAAGCCAGCCCAGACAGGAAAGTCCATGAGACTCTTATCTCCAATAAACCACTGGAAAACTGGAAGTGGCACTGTGGCTCAAGTGGTAGAGTGCTAGCCTTGAGCTGAAGAGCTGAGGGACAGTCTTCCGGCCCAGAGTTCAAGCCCTATGACCAAAAAAAAAAAAAGAAAGAAAGGAGAGAGAGAGAGAAAGAGAAAAAGAGAGAGAGAGAGAGAATGAGAGAGAGAAAGAGCTGAATTGGACTGTTTTGACCTACAAAAACAAAAGTTTCATAGAGTGCAGGCTGACACCCCATAATAAACGGTGCTGAGGGGCGAGGTGCTCAGAGCCAGGACGATGCCGTAGAGAGGCATGGGGACACAGCCGCCTCCCTAACCCAGCTGGCCACTTTCTGCCGCTGATGCTGACCACGGAGGGACAGACGGGCCTACAGGTGGCCCCTGCAAACCAGGCCAACCCCAGGTCTTCCTGCGGTTGGGTTGGGTGACATTTTGAACATAAAAATAGGCTGGTATTGCAAGTCAGTGTATCCTCCTGAGCCTGGAGGTCGCTGGTTTGGTTTCCTGGGCTCAGGAAGTTCTGTGTTCCCCGAGCAGAGGCAGGCTCCGGGTTGCTCTGCTTGATTGATTGCTTCCAAACAAGACCGGGAGGACTGAGTGCATCTGACAAAAGGTGCCTTAAAATTCGGAATCATTGGTATTTGTTCATGTGAACAAAAATGATTGGAGGAAGAAAAAAATGCGCACAATAGTAAAACAGAACTTTGAAAAACCTAGACCATCACTAGAGTTCCATAGAAGCTCGTAGAAGAGCTTCTAAAAAAATTTTTAAACCCTTCATCAGTGTTACTTTGGTTTACTTTGAAATATTTCTTCATTTGGGGGAAATACATTCCATCTGTCTAGACTATCAGTGAGCCTGATTCACAGAAAGCTAATTTTCAAGCTAAGAAGAAGGTCTTGTCTATAATCAGACCGTGTGAACTCGTTTATCTTGAAGTAAAGGTCACTATAAATACCAGGGGCCATTTTCATGCTCAGTACAAATCCTTGTTGGCTATGGGTGTGCGGTCCTACTGTCCCCAGCCTGTATGGCGACTGGGCCCCCCGCCAATGCTGGTCCTCTCGTCCTTCTGGTCAATTATGCCATCCACAGTGGGCTTCAAAGCCAACAGAAGCATAGCCAAGAAATAAGAGAGGGGAGGAGGAGGCACAGCCTATGGCCAGTAAGGAGATCAGGGGAGTCCCTTCCAGGGCCTGGGTTCTACTTCAGAAACCCTGCAGGGGCAGACATATTCCCGGCATGCTCAGGTCAGTCTCCCAGTTCAAAAGGAAAGATAGAGCATGCTTAGCTTGAGGATTTGCACATGTTCAAAACTTTTAAATGGCAGGTGCTGATATTCAGGGACCTGTACTGTTGTGTTGTAAAGATGGCAGACAGGCCAGGCACTGGTGGCTCATGCCTGTAACCCTAGTTACTCAGGAGG